GAGAGAGGGCCTTGCCGCCGCGCTCCTGGCCAGGGACGCTGCCCGGGGAGGGGTCCTGCTGGCTTTGGGGTCCTGCCTAGTTCAAAGGATGCTCCAAAGCCGCTTTCCGTCAGCAGGTGTGTGAACATGGCAAATCTCTTTTATTCTTTCTCTGTTCATTATACACAGCGTTATATCTATATCTATACCTATATATCACTCTATATAGATACATATAGATATATATGTATTTACTATCTCTGATTGTCCCTTTAGAAGCCCTTTATGTGGCAGTAGGCTTCCAGAGATGAGAAGAATATGTACAAGAGCCAGAGGAGGATAAAGAGTGAGGATGTGAGCAGCTTGGAAGTCCGCGGCCCGCCCAGCTCACCTCCAATCTCGGGTCTCCGCCGGTAGAGCAGCACGCCCACACTGATAAAAGCAAAAATGGTGAAGAGGGTGACGGAGAAGGCCAGGGTGCCGGGCGAGACTTGGAAGGCTTGTCCGTGCGCCGCGTGGTAGATGGCTGCGATTGACCAGGCCACCCCGATGCCCAGGAAAACGTTCACAGCATTGCTCCCGGTGACGTTCCCGATGGAGGCATCTGCATACTGGTCCTGCGTCGCTGCTACTTTGCTGGCAAACGTGTCTGCAAAGGGAAGGAGGAGAGAAACCCTCAGGAAACGGCCAGGTAAGGAGGGACAGCAGCAGGCAGCTTGGGGACAAGTGTCAACGGCATCGCTTGGGGAACGAAGGCAGTGGGTAGGGGGACAGAGTACAGCTCCGTCTGTGGGCACTTCCAAAGAAGGGCACATCTGGCCAGAGCCAGAGTGACAACCAGGGTCCAGAAATGCCCAGGAGGGAAATCTCCATTCCCAGAAATAGGAGGCTTCCCCCAGTACGGCCCAAGCTGCCCCACAGTGCTTCAAGCAAGAGACAACGCTTCCCAGGACCACAGTGCTTTGGCCCCTTCTCCTGCATCCACTAATTTGTTAACTTGCAAAAGAACCGAAAAGGCTGGAACAGCTTGGTGGGAGCCACAAGGGTTTGTATCTATCCTTCAGGTCCCCTGAAGTTTTGTATTGGTGCTTGTGTGTTTGCTTTAATGATGTCTCTCCAGAACCTTTTGCCCCGCTAAAGTCCAGTGCCTTGTGCAGACCCTGACACTTTGGTACAAGTGATCAGCTTTCACCCCTTAGGGAGAAAAACCATGCAGGTGCGTGTATGCTTGCCCAAGCCCTCCGCCAGCTTTAATACTGGTGGCAAAAGAGCTGTGATAAAACTCAGCTGGCCTTTCACCTGGCAGATCTCTGCACCACAGGGAAGTGCTGACTGTACATCCAAACCCCCTCTGGCTCTGCAGGGGGGTGAGCAGGAGCGGGGATCAGCATCTGGGTTTTGTCCAGGTGAGCACTCTCAGCTAACGATGAGAAGATGAATCCTTAACACATCTGCACTCCCCGATCACCGGGGGTACAGGCAGCAGAGTGTGGCTCAGAAAAAAGAAAATGGTGAGGTCAGATTTCATGTTTTTTAATTCTACAGCGTTTCCTTTACGCTCCTTCCCAGCAGGGCTCCAAGGTGAGATGGTGAAGCTCAGCCTGGCGCAAAGACCCAGTTTCACGTAGCAGGAGGGGCTGGCACCTCTAAGCACAGCGAGAGGGGCCATTTGCAGGAAGGATATCAGAAGTCTGCTTTATTTTTCAAAAAAAGCTCCCATTGAAATGCCTCTGACTGCTGAGGGAAGGAAAAGGCATTTCTCCTTGTTCTCAGCCGGGGTCACGGTGCAGTAATGCAGTTGTGGGACAGTGCGGATGCCTCTGCGGCTCTCCAGCTGCCACCATGGGAGGAGGGATGGGGCACATCTGGGGCACGCTGCCGGTGCCAGCCAGAGCGTGGAAACAACCGCGCATGGTTCTGCAAGCTCGAGCGATGCTTTTAATGCAGGGAAGGTCCCTGTCAGTCCTGATTTCACTGCACGTTCGTCTGATGCCTGCCAGCCTCCCGGAAAAACAGGTGTGGAGAGCCCAACTAGCACCCAGCTAACACAACATGGTCTGGGAGCATCTGCTAGTTCAAACAAGAGTAGCCGAATGTGTCCTAAAGAGAACTTCTTAAATGCCACCTTTTCTCAACAAAAGCAGGAGGGAAGATTTTTGCTGTCAAGGATGCGAGGCAGCCCTGCAACCCTCACGCCCAAAAGCTCCAGTGCCACAGGTCTAAAATCCTCCTCCTTCTGTTCCTTGCCCAAATCTGTTCTTCCTTTTGGTTCTGCTGCTTCTTTTTTGGGGCTCTGATAGCATTAGGCTAATTTCAAGTGTGTGGGGTGCTGATCACTGGAAGCCTGGGGGTGGCAAGGGCAGGTGTGAGACCAACGCGAGGGGTGGTCGGGTGGGTCAGAGCCCCTGACCGGGAACCAGGCTCTGCCTGGCCAGCACAGCCCATGGAAGAAGGTGAGAGAAAGGCACAGGCCCTCTCACACGAGCTGACAGGGGTCTTCCCAGAGCAACCGTGTCACTGGGACCATCCTCTCCAGTGCACCGGTTCATCCCTAAGCGGAGCCCTTTGCTGAACCAGCAGAAAGGCAGGCTGGGCAGCAGCAAGTCGATGTGCGTTGAGAGGACAAAGTGGCGTGTAGGCAAGGAAACACGTGGGGTTTTTTCTCTCCCTGGTCAGTCCTCAGTCTCTGCTGTCTTCTGAGACCGGGTGACCACTCAACCAGAGACATGTCTCCAAACATTTGTGGGGCCGGGGACTTCATAAGTCCCATTTTGAGCAGCTCTCCCAACGTCACCTTGATCCATCTCAACCAAAGCTGAAGCTGGTCTCACACAAAGGTGTCTGTGCTGGGCGGTGTGCCCTCAGCATGGACTAGCACCTAACTCACCTGGGAGGCAAGGCGAAAGGAGCAGATGCTCAGAAAGTCAGTGCAGGACTGCCAACACAGGCAGTGTTTTAATCAAAGACCAATTTTCTGCTCTCAGAGTGGATGCCGTGGAGGATGTCCACAGAAATAGATACTTCACAGTCTTTGCAAGCAGAAGGCCCTTGAAATAATTTCCAGAGGACTGAATCTACACCCTGGTTCGACCCTCCCCGCCCATCTGAGACTGAAAAACAACTTCCACGTACACCTCAGATCTATCCTTGGGGGTCCTGCAGAGCACAGCTGAGGACCTCGCTGTGCCCAGTTTTCCCAGCCCAAACCCAAACCCAGACTGGGCAGAGATGGACCTTTACAACAACCCTGCTGTTGTCCTTACCTGGCACCGATGTCCCCAGTGCGACAAACACGACCGCGGTGACGGAGTCCTTCAAGCCAATGGTGCAGCCGAAGTGGGATGCCAGGTCACCGATGAAAGCTGTCAGGAGGCCAATCATGAGGATGGAGACGACGAAGCAAGCCCAGCCATTCCAGTAGTCTGTCGGGGGTACGAAGGCAAAAAGGACCTTCCAGAAGACGGTCAGAAAGTGCATCACGTAGTCGAAGCAGGAGGGCAGCTTCTCCTCCCCACATTCATCGTCATCGTCATCTTCTCCTGGAGAAAACCACCAGTGCCTGATTAGACTGGCCCATCCTGGGGGAAGTTGGGCAAATCTCCTGTGCATACTACAGCCCCCCAAATGCCATCTCTCATGATTTGGGCCCTGGAAGGCCTTGACTTCCAAGTATCTTATTTTCTGGGCAATCATCAGCCTTTCCCGGCCCCTTCCCACGGCCCAGAGAGACCCTCCAAAGGCGTTGGTTTCAAAAACCAACCTGCACTTCAGAAAATGCAGAGCCTCAAGCCATCACCTCTGCCTGAGCTTAACCACCAGATGCTTTCTGGGACTCAGTCCCTGCTCAGCAGCCCTTTCCCCAGGAGACGTGGGAAACGACTGGCCTCATGCTGGCTGGAGCGGATCGGGGCGGGCGAACCCACCAAGAGCAAGATGTGGCTCATGGAGACTTCCCCCAAGGAAGTCTTTTTAGAGATGCTTTTCACAAGCGCCTGCGATTGCTTCCAGCTCTCTGGAAAGACAGCTGGTTTTGGTGGCTGCTGAGCTGCGAGCTCTGGTGCTTTGCTTTTTCTGCAAACTGGGATCCAGTCATGAGGCATACCTGCCCTAAAACCTCCCTGGTCCATCACTGCTGACTGTCCTTCCCTGTTGCATTTCCTTGCCCCTCCACGTGCCTCCCTACGAGCTCGGGCGGCCCATTCCTTTCAGTCTGGTCTGACCCAGGTCCGCGGGCACCCCTGCACAAGAAAACACTTTCCCATTTGCACCCCTTTCAGGTAGCTGTCAAGTACCCAAGGTCACGAGCCAGCTATGGGGCATCATTTGTCACAGCAAAAATGCACTTTCCTTCTTCTCTTTATTTGCTGTCCTTGAGCCAGGTCAGTGCTTCACTTCTCACCAGTCTGCTGTTAATGCCTTGCAGGGGCCATTTTCCCAGCGTAAGCCTGCCAGCAGTCCTGGCCCCATCTCTGCTCACCAGGCACACTGTGTGGGTTGGACCCGGGCTCTCCTGGTGCTGTGCTGAGCGCTCAGCCCCGCATCGTGCGCTGCTGCTCACGGCTGCGGCCCCTGCAGCACCTGCAAGACCTGGGTCTCGGGCACAGACGATAAGTTGGGGATGTGAGTCCTCGTACCCATCCTGCCCAATGTCTTGGGGGCTCTCAGACCCTGAGCGCCAGCTGCTGCGTGCCCCCAAATGCTCTCGGGGAGTTACGCACCCACAGCTGTGCCCCCGGACATGCAGGCGGGCTTGTGCCCAGAAGCT